TAGAATATATTATATATGCAAATATAATATATATAAAATCGAGGAATCACAAAGCATACATACAATATTTGTCTTCCTGAGAATGGCTCAATTCACATAATATGATATGAGTGTTTTCAACTTTCACTTATTCAGCCTCTTAGCACACCTACAATACCTATCCCCATCAAAGCTTGAGTGCTACCTTGCCCTTTGCAATTCTAACCTTTATGGCTATCAGTTGAAGAAATGATATTAAGGGGTAGAATGAAAATGTATACTTTTGTTTCTTTAAAGTTTTTTTAATTTATGTTCATAATGATGTGGGGGAAGCCACAAAACAATTTTGTCTAGTACTCATAACTGTTGGGAGTAGAGGGAAATGAAGGGGGAATCCATGGAAATTGTTTTCAAGGCAGGACAATCATTTAGTCATCTCACTGGTAATGCACCAGTGTCTAATTATAGCTCCTGTAGTTTGGGGTGGGAGTGTAGACACAGTCCTATTATGCCAGTGTTAATTGAAACCATGAGAATGCATCTCCTTGGCATAAGAGCTATTAATTTCATGGTGCATGTAACCACTTGTGCATTTCTCAAAGGCCACAACAGACTTTACCCTTCCAGGCAAAACTGTTGTTACAAGCAGGTAAATAAGGAATGTTATCATGAACCATGACAAATAGAGATGGAATAAATAATACAAAGATGTGCAGCAGTAGGATATTCTTGAGCCGTCTGTTACTAATTAAAGGGATGCCTCTGCAGTTGGAATTTGTAAATTCAAGGAGGGAGCTGAAGGCGTGGAATGTATGGACCCAGGAATACTGAAGCAAGGGAAGTCTACTTCAACCAGGCAGTGCCCTTCTCTGCAAGGAAGGGAAGCTGGCTGGTGCTAATAGCCTTTTCAAAACCTTTGTGGTAATCAAATCATCATTTGCCTTGGAACTGTAAAATAAACTTGGAAATGCAAGGTGTCCCTTCCTAAAGAGAAAGCTGAGACCATCTCTGGGTTCAGCATTCAATGAGATGCCCCAAGGCCAGGATGCTTTTCCTGATTTGACTTTAAAGATCTATTTGTAGATTAAGGGGGTTGGGTCTTCTCAAAGGGAAAATACAATACCCTGCTCTGAAAGGCCTCATTCAGGTTCAAGGCCATTAATTTTTATTGGGCACCAAAAGACTACCTTGTGTTCACTTCTTGGACTGTTCTCCTTCTACTTGGGCAAGAGTTAGTGGGAGTAGGAATCCCTATACATAAAAAATATTGCTCAAAACATGAACTGGTAGAGAATCTCAATTATAAATTAATCCATTCCCTCTTACTCAATTTGAAACATTTTTTGACAGCCAAGTCATTTACCGTGTTCCCCATATTGCCAAAGTTTAAATTCTGCTTAACTGGTTGTCACTTACAAAAAAGTATTGTAGTCATTTTTCCCGAACATGCAAGTAAGCCTTGCATATTGCTACAAGAAAATATTCCATACAAGACAGATTTTGATACAATTTTTATTTCAGCATCTTTAGAAACGGATTTGATGATCATGTGATTTACTATTATGTCATTAAATAATATAAACCAACTTAGTTATGCATTTTGGTTTCAAATCAGTCCTTAAGTACAGAAGTTCAATAGTAAAGCCCGAACAGTTCATTCTTTAGTTTCTAGTTATGAATACTTAAAAGTAGCCCTGTGACGGACTTTTAGGTAAGTAATTGGCAAATAACCTTTGCCCTGTGTAAATAAGGCCAAAAAGCTTGTATTCACCGTATTCCCATAAAACCATGAAATCTTAGGTGGTTGTTATGGGGGGGGGAAGAATGCAAAACAGAAAAAGGGAAAAAAGAAAAAATACATTAGGAGTTATGTTTAGAAAGAAGCTTTCCTTCTTCCCCCAAATACTAGAACATAAGTTTGGTTACTGTAAGAAATGACTCGCCAAACACTTGCTTATGGCTCCGCATTCCTTGCTTTTCTCTGCAAGAGTGCACACAAAGCACACAGTTGTACAAGTATACACAGACATTCACAGTATACTACGGCAGGTCCTACCCATTCCGTTTAGGATGAACATGAGAAACTGCTAACAGTGAGCAAATGTGTCAGGCGAACTACAATGTCAATGATGTGGGCCTTGAATTGTGCACTGCAGACTTCCTCGGGATTTTGACCCAAGTATCTCCAAGATTAATAATGATTGTTGGGGTTGACAGAAGGACAGCAATCAGATTGTTCTTTTGACTATACCAATCACCCAACTTACCCCACCCCCAGCTTCATAAACCCCACCAAATCTTTCCAATTTACAATGAAAATATAAAAAAGGGAGTACACAAAACTATATTGCAAAGAAGTTCCTGACAATTAGCAACCTGGAGACGAGAGAACCAATTAATTCATATTATCGCCCAATTACAACCTGTCAGAATCTATTTTCTATAACATCCCCTCATCTTCTGAAATTTTATTTATTATTTTTATTTTATGTGTATGAGTGTATTTATTGCTTGCATGTATGAAAGTGCATCTGTGTTGTGCAATACCCCCGGAGGTCAAAAGAGGGCGATGGATTTCCCTGGAACTGAAGTTACAGTTATTAGGCACCATGTGGGTGCTGGGACTCAAATCTGGTCCTCTGCAAGAGCAGCCAGTGATTTTAATCGCTGAGCCATCTCTCCAGCCCCAACATCTTAGTCTTTAGAATCATTTGCTGCACTCTAGTAAACATAGGATTCCTCTTTAACTAAACTGATGGCACATTCTGTGCAGTCCTGGTTGCTTATTAACAATTAGTGGTATCTGTTATTTGGGTATATTTGTTAATAAGCATCTGTTGGTTTAGACAGTAAGTGCTTTGGTTGAGATAATAAATTAAATGGTCAACTTAACTGTAAATGAACTAATTCTCTGACAGGCAATAAGGTGGATATCTTGGTGTAGTGCTGTACAGTTTTTAATGCTATCTTTTATCCAATTATCAAAACAACTAAATGGCCAAATCACATACCATCATCTTTGTGCATACAGGGTATTGAACAATAGCTTGCCAATTGGCTATCTCTTTGGGAGGCTAAAGTTAAGAGCCCCAAGAGCATTCTTCAGAAAAGATAACTTTGCTGCAGTGTATCCATCTCTTTCCCAGTAAGAAGTCAAGGAAAATAAGGATACAAGGTCCTTCAAAATTGCTCAGTGGCGAGGGGGAGCAGCTCTAGATACATCACTGGTTTAGCATATGCAATATGCAAAACACTGGGCTCCACCTAAAGCACTGAAAAAACAAACTGTTGGCAAATTAAACTGAAGAGGGAAATTCAGGTGATTTCAAAGAATCTTGCTCAAGCCATACCACAGGAAATCATGTACAGCAAAGCCTCTCTGATGTCCATTAAGACCGAGATGCTCAGTCTCATGTATAACAATTCAAAAGACCACTTTTTCCTTTGCTTCTTCTCATGGAAGCCCATGAAGTACCTTCCTAAGCTGGCTCCAAGGAGCAGACCAAAACATGCTGGTCTAATCCAATTCATTCAGTGTACTCTTAAGAGGCTCATTTTATCAGCCCCTGGTCACGAATTACACTGGTATTTTCTGTATTAGCAATCCTATAAGCAAAGTCATGGTCAAGACATGTATAGTGCACATTAACTGTTATGAAAAGTTCTGAGCACACTTTATAATAAGGAAACTTATGCCCACAGGTATTAATATAACTAGTGGACTCAAACATAGCCATCAAAAATAGCCAAGTGTGAAGCCTCTCTCTCTCTCTCTCTCTCTCTCTCTCTCTCTCTCTCTCTCTCTCTCTCCATCTCCCCCCATCCCCCGCTTTGTTTCTTTTGCAAGAAGAGAAAGAACTAAGAACTGAAAACAGATGAATGTTGGTTAGTTAAACTCGTTTTCAAGCTTAAGATTGTAAGAGCCAGGGAGGAGGTACATGACCATATGGAAATAGAGTCCTACAGGTTCCTGAGACCCTACTCATATGAACCTACAGCAATGGTATCAGCATGCACAAGACCCAAGCAAACTCAAGCAGACAAAAACCCTGCTGGAAATGGCCAGCAGGCCCCAATCTTAGTCGAAGAACTATTGGGGAGGTGATTACTGGTGGATGAGGAAGAGCTGATCTTCTTAAAGGGAGACTGACTAGACCTCAGTGGATGAACTTGCCCTGATGGACATCTGGGGACACTAACTTGACTCGATAGGCCTTAGCGCAAATGACAGAATGCATGAATTTCAATGTGGGGGTGTTGCTATGGGAGGGTGCCAGTGGGGAAGGGGTATAAAGATGATTAAGACACTCTGTATGAAATACACAAAAATTCGATAAAAAAATTTACAAAAAAATAAGATCCGTAGTCAATGTGCATTCACTTCTTAAGAATAGCTACCAAGGAAACCATGGCAAATAACAATGATATAGAAACATGTTCGTCATAGCACTGTTCAGCAACTCTAAATGGTACATGCAATGAGGACGAAGTGTGGGAGGAGAGGTGAAATAAAGATTACTGTTTGGCAATGGAACCCAGGGAACCACAGGGACTTGTTTTTGTGCATTTCTCAAACCTTGTTTTGAAACAAAGCCAAAGCATTCAAAAATGAAAATACAGAATACACAAAACCAAAGCAATGAAAAATGAAAATACAGACACAGCACTTACCACAGAGACTTTGCTCACTACATCTCTTGCAACTGCTAGGCCTTGAGCAAATGTCCGGGCTGCCACAAACGCGCGGGTAACCTGGAGTTTCAGCTTCCGGGGGACATCTCCAAAGGGTTTCAGCTGCTCAGTATACTTGCTCACACATTCCAGATACTCATCTGTAAAATGGTACTGGGAGTTCACCAGGCGGAACATCCGCTCCAGAAGGCGAGCCCAGAAGTCATTTAGCATTTCTTCCAGGTTCACGTTTCCTGACACATAGTAGCGCTTCAACTCTACGAAGAGATCTTTAAATAGCTCTGAATTTTGCATGTATAAGTGGCCATATGTCTTCACAAACATATCATTCAGGGATTTCTCTGCATTTTCAAGTAGTTCTTTGAAGAATTCTAAAAACAAAAACCCCCAAAAAAGAAAGAAAAGAAAAATGAAATGACAGCGGCTATTTTTAGAAATTGAGCAACTGAATTTGAGATAAATTTGAAAAACGGAAATCATGAAATTAAATTAGAAAGTATGCTTGTACACAGAGTGAATATTTTCTGAGGAATTCACATCTCTAAACATTTTTCAATGAAAGGAAAACTTTACTACAAACTTACTTTTTCCATGTGTCTATATCTAAAGGGTAGTGGGAAAATTTAGTCCACCAAAGTCTCAGGAATCAATACAGTCCACCCCTCAACAAAGAACTGGAAGCTGGGCATGGTAATGCATATCTACAATCCCAGGCCTTGGGAGGCAGGAAGGTTAGAAATTTAAAACCCAATCAAAGTTACAAGCTACAGAGCAAATTTGAGGTCACAGTTTTGCCCAATATTCTGTCTCAAAACAAAGAACCCCCAAAACAACAGCAGCAACAAGAGCTGAATAGAAATGGACACAAGATGCTTAAAATATGAAGTTCCTAAAACATTTTACTGTAAGATTCTAAACCAAAGTAAATCGTGCCCATAATTATGACCTAACATCAGGACAAGTGCTTCAAAATGTGCTGTTTTCCTTGGACATGAGGTTTTCTTCTCTTTCCTTCTTCTTATCCATGGCATGCCTGGAAAATGCTTGAGGCCACAAAAAATGGTGAAACAGCCTGCAAACCAAGCACAAGTTTCTTGGGTGTTTTCTTTGTGACATTACTGTACATCAGTGGCATCCAAGTTGACCTTGAATTCCTAAAAGCGTCACAATAACATCACGGGAACTTTTCAAGGTCACAGGGATGAATGGATGCCACCACTGCTCTGGTGTATTTGTAAAATGACATGGAAAAAAAATAACTGAAAAATACAAATGAGAATATCTGGCTGTTTCAGATATATACCTTGGCCAGTACACACCCCAAAAATTTAAATGTTATGTGTATGGTTTGTCTATATATATGCAGGTGTACTGCACGTGTGCATGCATACATTCAATGCCCACTGAGGCCGTAAGAGGCCATAAGATCCCCTGGAACTGGAATTATGGGTGGTTGTTAGCCGTCACATAGGTCTTGGGAATCAAACCCTGGTCCTCTGCCAGAGCATCTAGTGTTCTTAACTGTTGAAACATCTTTCCAGTTCCAAGGTTTGAATCTCTTAAAATGGCAAGTTAGTTTGCTCCTGAAGTTTCATGAGATGGGAGGCAGAAATAGGAGAACTCCTATAAGCTCCCAAGCCAGCTAGCCTGATATATGCAGTGGTGAACAAGAGATCCTGTCATAAACAAGACAGAAGATGAAGACTGACATACCAGGTTGTCCTCTGCCTTCTACACATACCATGACACATGTGCCTACACACACACACACACACACACACGCACACACACACACACACGCACACACACACACGCACACACACACACACACAGATTTTTTTTAAAGCAAAGAGGGTCTAACAAAGTATCTGTAACATAATTCATTCTTAAAGAATCTCTTTCCTAGCACAAATATAAATACCTCATAATATCAAGTTTATAAGCAGGAAATATAATGAATACCAGAACAAAATATAAGGACCAGATCAAATAAGAAGCTGTGTCTAAGCGAACATGTAATGCCACTTCAAAGCTGGAACATTGGCAATCTCATCAAAACATAACAGTGCTACAAAACTGTTCCCTTCCCATGGTGGCTGGACAAGTCAGAGGCTGACAGCTAATTCTAAATAGTTTTGTCAGAAGTCCTGGACTGAGTTCAGCCTTTTGGAAGAAGAGAGACTTGTCTTGGGTTTCCCTACATGCTAACACCAACGCCTCCTGCGCCCCTAACATCACGGCATGCTTCTTTGAGGCTTAGGGCTAAAGTCCAGAATTCTTTCTGGTTCCAAATTTGCAAACTTTGCCTATGGGTTTTTACTTTTTGGCTTTTTGTTTGTTGCTTCCTTTTCTCTTGCTCCTCTTTTTTTCTTTATCTTACTGGTCTTTTATGTCCTATGCTTTCTTCAGAGTAAGAAAAAGGGGATGACCCCCCTTGGTATAGGAACAAAATGAACAGGGCTGTGCATCTCCATTGGCATGTTTACCAAACTTCTCTCCCTAAGGGAGAGAACAGAGTATGCAAAAATCTAGGAGAACAATATTTGGGTTTTCCAGAAGAACGGAACCAAGAAAATAACTACAGATGGGATTTATTAGACTGGTTCCCACAACCACAGAGAATACAAAGTCTCACAGTAGTTATCAACACACTGGAGACTCGGGGATACCAGTAGGTCCCGTGTCCCTCAGAATAATAGATGCCAATGATGCAGCCTCAGTGTAAGACCAAAGGCCTGCAAGCCTCCCACAGAGCAATTGGTACCAAGGGAACTTTGATGTTCATGGACACCAGAAGCAGAAAACACACTCATTTGAAAAGGGTCATATGTGACCGGACATGGTGGCGCACGACTTTAATCCCAGCACTCAAGAGGCAGAGGCAGGTGGATCTCTGTGAGTTCAAGGCCAACCTGGTCTAACATAATGAGTTCCAGGCCAGCTGGGGCTACAGGGAGACCCTGCCTCAAAAAGACCAAAAAAGGGTCATATGTGGGCAAGAGAGATGGCTCAGCAGTTAAGAACACTGACTGCATTTACAGAGGACCAGGGTTCAGTTTACAGCACCCACATGGAAGCTAACAACTATCTATAACTCCAGTTCCAGGGGATTCGATACTTTCTTCTGAGCTCCATAGACCTTGCAAGAGAGAGGTGCACTTACATACATGCAGGCAATACACTCATACGCATAATATTTAAAAAGGGTCATATGTGAATACCAGCAAGAGCTAGGCTCCCTCCTTCCATCATGCATCATGTACCGATTCTATCAGGACTGCCAGCTGACTGGATGGTGCTCCATACATTGAGGGCAAGATTTCCCCATTGACCCATATGTCAGTCTTCTCTGGAAACACCTCCACAGACACATCCAGAATGATACCTACCACTTCTCTAGGTATCCTTTAACAACCAAATCAAACCCTTGTGGGAATAATGTAAAAGCAATCATGTGAGAAGTACCACAGGGAGTCATTGTGGGCAGGCCTTTTATTATCTACAACTTTTCCTGAATAGTTCTCCAAGTATAGGCTGAGATCAACACCCTTTCGATATCACCAAAGTAGGCACTTGTTAGAAATCAAGTTCTTGGCCCCACTCCAGGATCATCGCTGAACCAGAAACTCTAGGTGTGGGCCTAGCCATTTGTGACTTTGTCATGCCCTAAAGGTACAGGCCATCTCCTCTAGCTGAGGAAAACTTTTCCAATCCACTGCTTACTACTAATCACCAGTCACTCTGGGACTAAGTTGAGTGTGAAGCATTCAGGGCAAGCAGTGCTGCTTTATTAGAGGGAGAGATTGTCTTTCTAATGAATTGTCATCAAAAATATTGGTGATGTTTTATGGTTTCTTGGGGACATCTTTTGTCATGTAAAACTCAACTACATGTTAACATAGGTGATTAAATGCATGTGAAGTGGTAAAAGAACCTTAAATGTCATCTGGTCTGTGACCTTTACCATGCTTCACCACTTTACTAAGTGGTGCTTGTTGATAAGGGGCATAAAAGATATAAGCAGATTCTGTTAATACATGTCCAGTATGTTGCACACATAGAACTTGCATATTGGAAAATTAATGCCTCATTGGGCTTGGGATTGATGACTCAGCAGTAAGAGCACTGACTGCTCTTGCAGAAGACCTACGTATGGTTCCTAGCACCCACATGGTGACTTACAACCACCTGTAATTACAGCTCTAGGGGAACCATTGCTCTCTAGCCTCCACAGGCACCTGCATGCATGTGGCACACATAAACTCACACATATACTTATACATAAATAAAAGTAAATAGATGAATGAATCTTTAAAAGAAAGCATGCTCACTGAGAACCATGTGCAAGCCTTGTTTCAACCAAGTGCCAGTAATAGTTCATGAAATATTCCAAAATCCAACAGTCAGTACAGGTCTTTCTTTGTATTGGATTTTGCTCATAAAAATTTGTACACATCAGAAAAAACTGGGTGTTAAGACTTATTCGACTTGGACTTTCATATTCATTTAATAAGTAACTCAATATTCAGTTGCATTTTTAATCAATAGAACCTAAAGCCACCGCTTTTTGAGAGTAGGAGGTGCGTGGTGGCCCATCAAGCTTAGTTTAACTGCAAACTTCTAAAAATGTCAAGACTTATCCTGTACGCTTCAGAGTGCTGTACGTGAAGAAAATGTTGAGACAGTGAACATTCTATGTAAACAGTAACTCATTGTTAAAGTTCATCATTTCAATCAGAAGCTTACCAGTGGATGCAGCTACAAGTAATATACTTGGAGTATCAAAGAAATGATGTAAAGAGGAATCTAATTTGACAGTTACATGTCCCCTGTCTACCAAGACCATGAATTTTATATTGGTTCCCAGGGTTCACATTTTCTTGCAAACTGTATGGATCTGTGTACATGTAAGTATGTGTATGTTTATGTCAGCTTGTACTTCAGAAGACTAGTGTGCTGCCTCAGACACACTAAATCCTAATTCATTTCATCACCCAGAAAATGTAATTCCTTTCCTTCACATATTAAAAAGATGCTTTAATGTGGCCATATAAGTTGCAGATATAAAGAATATCTGAATGAGGATGTGGTTAATAAATTCTTGAGAAATTCTATAAAACTGATAGAACAAGTTAAAACCTCACAGTTTAATCTCTCCAAATGGCTATGTAATTTGACAAGTATGTACTGAGTGGCTATTATGGGCTAAAATCAAAACACACAGTTTTACCATGCATCTTACTCTTTCTTCAGCAGAATCATACAGCAACAAAAATTTCTAGAAAAACATATTTTCCCTATCCAATTTATGTTTACTGTATGCCACCACCTTTCACTGTGGTTTTATGAGTGTGCTAGAGAATTTTTTTTT